ATTGATGGTGCTTGCATGAGTGAACATTCTTTTTTCACTAGTAGTTTTTCATTTTTATTGAAGCATTGTTATAAATACAGAATGGTAAAGCATCATTTTTTTGTGTGATCATGAATTTTTCATTATCATATATCGTCTAACAAAGAATGGCAAATCTGTTTAACAATGATGCTTTCATATAGCATAAGCATAGAAAACTCGCAAAAAATATTATATATTAACCAATCCAACAACTTCAATTTTCTAGATAAATTTGTGAAAAATACAGTATAGAATAAGAAAGATTACATGCACAGTTATATAAAAAATAAACGCAGAGAACTTTTATGCTTAAATTAACAAAAGAAAATAAAGAAAACAAACTCAGTGAATCCCCTTCTTGAGCACACGATTCACTCTTTTACCACTTACCAGTTACCATCATGCAATCCTCCTTTTAATAACAGAAAAGATTGGTCTCCCCAAAGTTGTTATTTGTGAAATTCCAAAATGATCCTCTCCATTTCGTTTCAGCAGCTTGTTAGTGGAGGCTATTTCAGGAATTCTTCCAAAATCATTGTATATGCTAAATGTTACCCAATGTTCTTCCAAAGCCAGTGGTGTCAATTGACCTACTAAAACTAACCAAATATTTTGAATTTCCTTGCAAGGTGCATCACTGACATCAAGTTTTCCTTACATATGCCAGTTTTTAGGTTTGTTAGAACCAAGTTAAATGAGATGCACTTCACCTAGTCCCCTTCTTAGATATAATTTAGTTCGTTCCTGTGGCAGGACAGATAATCTTTTAACGAAACCATCCTTTTTGTTGCCTTATCTTAGACGAAACTTAACTTGTATGATTGGAGCTGTGAGTTTCCCTTTGTGTTCTTGTCACACCAAATTTATTGATATTCACCCAATAGTTTTCCTTACATCTTGTCCCCTTTAAAATAAATTTAATAGTTAAGGATTAAGAAAACAAAAAGACAAATAACGTTCACATCCTAAAATTTCCCCTTGTTCTGGCTCATATTTTTCCCTCTTTTGACGTGCTGGAGCTACAAGCGATTATTTTCTGAGAATATTTTCTGAGAATATTCTTTCCATAAATCACCGAGACCCATGATTCAAACAGAATGTGAAGGCTCAGCACATGGGAGCAATTCACCTTTAAATACACTAATCAATTAAAGGGTATGAACCGTATAATGCACTGTATGTTGAAGATGTTTTAGGTTGTTATGACACTTCTCTATTTCCTTTCTTGTTAGATTTACACTTTTCTTGTTACCGCTTTTTCTAATCATGGCTGCTGATTCATCAATATCTCGAGAACATGCCGAGTTACTGGATACAATGAATTATGCCGAGTTACTGGATACAAAAGAACATGCCCTGCTACTCTCTTCAAACTCTAAATTATGGTTGTACTACTGAATCATTTTGTATGGAAGATTTTATGACTTCAAGAATTAAAATGAGCTTAATTATAAAGGTTCCAGCAACAGACGAATTGAGGAGTTGAAGAGGTCTGAAAAATAGGTATAACTGAGTTTATGAGATCATTTATGAAGCCCAAATATCTTGTGATTGCACATATATTTGAAGAACTAAATTAGAAAACTGGAGATTCTTATATAATTGTAAAGGCACTGTCCAATGTCTTAAGTGGTACCACATTCCGAAAGAAGAATGTTTCTTTGGTGAAAAAAATTCTGTTTCATAATCACTGAAGGACTGAAACATTAAGTATTTACAGTATGTTCTATAACTGTTACTCCTTGTTACTAAACAACATTATCTTTCCATACAACTTCTCAATCTCATGCCATGTATTGCTCTTTAAATAGATATCTGACCTCTCTAAGCATAAGGATTTTCCCTTGACAATAAACTGATGTAAAATGAGTTGCAGATTACTCTCTATTATCCTTGATAGCTAACTTGGGGTTGGACACATTATTAAATCTTTTCATGTGTCTACAGTTACCCAAAATGTAATAAACTGTTTCAGGGAGCTTGGGTGGGTTTGATGGCTAAAATGATATCAAGGTGTGATTTCTAATGTCATCATAGTTTCATTTTCTTCTTCTGGATTATGAACTGTGTGAATTTATTTAATATTTTACCAAATCACTAATAAACTTCCCGTTTTAGTCCTGAAATGTCAAACTTCACTTGGTACAATTTATTATGAATAAAAGCTTTGCATGGACTGCATACTCAGACGGTCACAAACGAGGCTCAAAGATACGAAAATGTATCCAGGAACCAAGCTCACTGGCTCTCGCGATTTTATCACTTTTAAAGGGTTTCCTGCAATCTATTAAGATTGGTCTAGAGTAGGCCCTATGGTGCATTATGCACTGATTGTACATCGTTGAAGTTGATTTTTGTGGAGTCTGAAAATAGTTTGTTTTACTTTTAGCTTGATTTGTTGTTGAAATGAGTGTTCAACGAATAATCCAGGTTTCAGCTATGAACATGGTTCATATACACCTTTTTACGTCTTGGGTTTCTCAACTTGTCTCATGTGACTAAGCTTTAGTTCCTATATAGCAAATATTTCTTCATCTTCCTTTCTTTATGTGTCGTCTACCACGTGCCATCTCCCCAAACTTAAATAGAGAGTTATTCTACGTCCACCTACTGAGGACATCCAGGCTTTTTTATTGATTTCTAATTGGACATTTCGAGTTGGACTTTATTTTTTTGTTTCTTATTTATGTAATTGGCTTATATTGGCCCAAGCCCATGCTAGTTAGGGTTTTTTTTTTTTTTTATTGTTTAAATCTAATTTGCTATGTAATTTCAGTAGTTGATGATTGAATAAAAGTATTTGGTAGCTTGTGGCAATTTTTGCTCTCTTCTTCCATTATTCTTCTTCTCCCGCTTCTATTGTTTTCTTATTCTGTCATCTCTTCCCCTAATTTCTTATTCCTGTTGATTGGTTTTCTCATTCTCCATTGGGTATTCCTATTGGTGCTGCATCACCATCTCATTGAATCAGTTGTGTGAGGAAGTGAGAAACAGTCAAATAACAATACATTCTGGTAGAAGTTTGAACTGTTAAAAGGCATGAGGGGAAATTTTCAGTTCTTTTAGATAATTTTCAATATGGGAAAATCTACAAACGACCCCCCATATATAGGGACGTAGTTCTGGAATTTGCATTTTAAATCCAGGTTATGGGCTTAACAACTAACAAATTTTGTCAAGTCTCTGTCAAAGGAAGTTGGAAATTTTGCAAATATACTATCGTATTGATCGAGAATGATCAAAATGACCTCGAAAATTCAAAGGAACACTTAATCTGCACTTCATCATAGACATGGTTTACCAAAATCATTTGACAAATCAATAGGACAGTTCTCAGTTCCTTTCTTACCTGGACATCAAATACCCATTTCTATTTCCACAAAAATTCCAATATTTTCCTATTCTCACCACCCAACACTCCATTCTTCATAGAAATCCCATCTTTAAACTCAACCCCTAAATTTCTTCTTCTTCAAGCCCATCACGTTCCAAAGAATGACCACGAGCGAGTGCACCTTTTCAATGTGACTTTTATCTGCACCTTTTCTTTCCAACTCATTGAACACTTTCTTCCAAAACTTGAGGAAATCATTAAAGTCTACCAAGCGGTCAAGAACTAAAGGCAAAGATGCTCTACTGTAGAAATCTAATGCCTTTGGAACCCCAATTTAAAATAGTTAAAAACAAGTGCCAGGAGCTGTTTTTGGCCAGCTTGTGGAGAAAATTGTGTTGGTGTTGCTTCTTGGTTTTTAGCAAGAATTTAACTCCTAGGAATAACGGATTCTTGCATATGTTGAATTTAATACTAAAGAAGGCCTTGCAATTTTATGTGGATGCTGAAAAGGCTAGTTTTTAATTAGTGATTGAAGAGAAAACCTGATTGACAATTCATAGTTGGGACGGAGATAGGTATTATGAGAGGGAGAGTTGTGTATTATTTATGCAAAAAGAAAGCAAGAGACTGATAGGTGTTTTGTCGAGAAGGAAAAAGAGTGGTCTGGTCTTGCATGATGGAGGATTGTATGCCCCTGCTTTATATCATGTGTATTTTATCCATTTGGCAATTTCTGTTTAAATTGATGAATGACTTTTAATTGCAGTATGTAAAATGTAATTTCTCAAGTTACAGTACATGAAGTGTGATCAAACTCAATACAAAATATTGGGCACGACTTAGTTGCAAATAATCCTTTTAACTTATGCTGGGCCAACTCTATTCCCAAAAATTACCTACTTCTGCTCCCCATAATACTTCTCATTCTTGAACTTGAGATGAGATGTGAGTATTCTCTTGTTCGGTACAGTGTATCACTATCATTCTGTCTAATTATAGAGAAGCTTTATACAGTATCAAGACGTGTATTCAGGACCTTGGAGGTTCTGTCCAAAGTCCTGCATAGAATTATATATGACTGCATAATAATCCTCTGGTTTAAACTCCGACAGATAATTCATTCTATGTAAGTTTCTATGTTAAAAGCTCCAAGCCGATTTCTTCTTCTCTCCCTCTGTTAGTGCAAACGTGATGGACTTCTAGTACTCCATGTCCTTTTGTGCTAGTTAACCGAGTGTCATGTTCATTTTTCTTGAATTGAGTTCGGAAATGTTGCATTGTGAAGTCTAGCAATCCAAGCATGGCATTTAATTCTGTTATTAGGTTGTCAGTTAACTTTGCTCTTTGAATAGTGCCATGGCCACCTTCATTTTTTCTTATATTTCTAAGTTATTTCGGCAGTTTATCGGTGTCTTTTGAGATTTCTAATGCCCATTTTTTATGACAGGATAAAGTATTTTAATCTTGAAGCTAAAATCTTCTTATTCTTAAGAATTTGAGTTTCCAACTCCATTAAAGAGACTTGCAACATCTATGATTCAATCACTAGACTCCCTTTTGTATACATGACGTGCAAATTTCATCATCCTCTAATTTTACGTCCTCTATTTATATGTTCTATCCATTTCTTGAACTGTACTTGCAGGAACTGGAGGTGTTGCCTAGTATACCACCACCAGAGAAGAAGTATCAACTCCGCCGCACAAGCTCAGCCCCGATGTGAGGACTGTAGATTCATCATGTTCTTATGTCAATTTGCTGTTCATTTTGTTGGTGTTTGTTTCTTTTTTACTGTTTATGCGGGTTACTATCCTTGTCCATACGACAGCATCGGGATATTATCATCTGGTTGTCTATCTTGCTGTAACATCCCTTAGCTGTCCGACCCAGTCGAACTTTTTTCCTGTATGTACATTATTTAGTCTTAACTTGGTATTTGTGAAACTGTTTGATATGTGGACATTTACCATCAAGTTTGATGTCTGAAATTTTGAAAGAATTTATTAGGTCAACTTTTACCTTGTATTTTTTACTATTTTTCTTGACGTTGATATTTTTAACATTTAGGTTAAGGAGGGTGGTCCATTTCAAATTCTTTGTTTATTTATGATTGGGTGTTGGGGGGTGGGGGATTCATAAATAAATAAAATTCACGAGCCTCTCCCTATTGTGTAGGGATTGTACACCATGATGTACAAAGCACCATAAATCAAACACGGGTACATCTGAAATCAAAATAAATGAAGCATATCCAGCACAAAAAAAGGACAAAGTAACAGTCGTGTTACTTTTCCTAAACAAGCCTAGAGATCTCCATAAATCAAACACGGGTACATGTGAAATCAACATAAATGACGCATATCCTCTGGAAACATTATCCAATTTTTACCAGTGAAAGTGGTCAACCAAGATGATTAATTATAAAAATAAGACATAAATGCACATTTGACATATTAATTCTTTCTATATCGACAAGAAATTCATTCCTACACAATCTTGCAACATTTACAATGGAAAATGAACCAAAGGAAAGTTCAAGGATCGAATTCGTCGAGGACTAGTGCTTTAACTGCTATTTTGATTCCCTCCAAAACTTTCATGCTACGTAAAAACCCTAGTACAAAATCATTTAAGTTAAAAAATTCTCGTTCTCCATAATCTTGTTATGGATAACAGACAAACATGATCCAGGGCAAGCCATGGAGCAAATATTCAGATGCAAATACAAATATAACCATCCTTATCGAAGTTTTGAGGTCATAATTACAAGGAAAAGAATTAACGTATCTATATTGGGCTTTAGAGTTCCTTAAGAGGACACTATGGATTGCCACAAGTTACTACAGGGCGCTCTTTTAGCAGAATAGCCTTGGCACTGATCTTTTCGGAATCTTGCCTTCAAGTTTTAGTCTTCTATATGCTTCTCTCATGTGACATGGCCTGATTGGCCCAGACTCCCCTCTATCTGCCATCACTATTCTGGCTGCAAAATTATAGAGCTTCAGTATAGTTCATATTGTTGTATTTATATTTCAGAGTAACACAAAGAACACATGTAAGTTTTTCTACTCAAAATTAGCAAGAGAACCTCTCCAATTAAAAAATAAATAGCATGGGAATAACTTTTGTTAATAAGAATTGCCAAATACTGAATCAACATACCAGTTTCAACAAGCTCCCCAACAAACATTTTTGCTATTCCGGATACCACGATGGTCATAGGCATAGAAATTTTGGCACTTCCAGTTATGCTAGTCAATAACTGCAATTAGGACACAGTAAAAGATCGTGACAATGGCCATTGCTAAAAGAGTTCATTGAACAATTTTGTTATTTCACAAAATACTAGATGGGAGAGAGAGGAGGGGAGACCGTTGAGAAAAGAGCACAGGAATGAAATGATGCCTACCCTTTTCATGTTTGATTTCTGAAATCCAGATCTTCGAAATGATTCATACCTACTCATCTGTTCCTCCGTAAATTGAGACAGAATACTCCTGGCAAAGAAAATGAATTCAGGAAAACTTGAAAATGAACCTGTTTTCAGATGAACTAAAGAAGTGAAGGTCAATTTATTTATTTATGAGATAAAACTTGAAAGCCTTCACATTTATGATTCACCAGTAATGGGAACACAAATAAATCTTATTCTTTGACTCCTTTATTAAAAAGTTTCATTCTCTGCTCTTCATTTTTGTTTTGATTCTCTCTACAATTGGACAAAACACCACTGAGATGAATGTTATAATTCTTGTTATTTTGAGAACTGATGTGTTATCATTCTAATTCTTAATGAAATTTCAGACTAAGAAATCAATGATATTATACAAATGAATCAGTTAACTCACTGCATAATGGCCACTTTATCAGGATCGCCACTAGAAGGGAACTTGCCAAGCTCAACATCCATGTTCTCTTCCTCTTCTTCTTCGTCTTCTTCTTTAGACTTGCCAACAGGGCCAGCAGTCACAACGGAGTTTGATGCAGCTGCAGAAGTTGAAGGATCTGTAAGATGAAGATTATTAGCCATGTCATCATCTCCACTAACATCTAGAGTGAGGGCACCTCGAGTTTTTTCTTCATTCTCATCGGGGCCAGTGGGGGATTCAGGGGGCGATACATCTTGCTCCTCAAATGCAACTTCAAAAGGATCCTTGGATTTCTTCATTGGAAAACCTACCAACCAACGTCATCAATAGCAAATTATTCAGATCATGAAGTAAAAGAATATATTTTGTACACGAGTGACAGAGATAAGTACAAGTTTAGGCCAAAAAGACTCTGTAATCCACAAATTTCAATAATATTCTACGGGGATAAGATTTGAGTTAATTAAACGATTAATCTCACTCAATTTTACAAAGCCTTTCCCATCCATCATCCATCTAAATTCCATTCATTTACGTGACAAAAAAAAAAAAATCTTACGTGGTGGATGAAAATCGTGGCAATCTTCGGTGTTAAAAATTGAAAGTTAATTAAATAAGTAATCACTAACCTTTACCTTTAGTTACTGTTTGCCCATTCAAAATGATCTCATTTAACTTTGATTACAGTTCGTTCAATCAAAAATAAAGATTACCGATCGCTCACTCATATTTACATAATGTTCCCGGAGATTGTGCTAGTCATTCGACGTGTATTTAAAAGAGGACAGTTTGTCCTACTGAAGCAGCAGTAAAACCAGATCAAGAAATAACATTAAGATCGCATAAGCTTGTAGTCAAAAGAAAGAGAACAGCCCAAATAGAACAGGGAATATGGCTATTCATAGTTAAGATTCCGATAGTCGTCCTCACTTGGGAGTTTGATAATTTTTATTATATATCACATAACAAACTAAACTGCCATATGTATTCGTAATTATGAATGGCATTACTCAATCAGGAAAAACGAGATGATAACAGCAAAGAGAAAAAAAAAGCAAAAGAAAGAGAAGAAACCCAAAGCCCAGTAAATATAACTACAAAAGAAAAAAATATAAAAATGATAGGAAGAGATAAAACCTAGACCCATATAAAAAGGAAAAAAAAATCAGACACTGGAAAAAACGAAAGAAAGAAAATTTCAAGAATCAGGCGAAAAGAACTATATAAAAGAAAAGGATAACTGGTTAAGGGTAATTACCTGTACCTAATTGCATTTGAAAAAGTGTGCTGCACTCACTGATTGCCCAGTAGAGTTGAGATGTGTGGTGAAGGGAGGTAGGCAACCGCCGTTGCTAGTGGTTGGGATTTGTGTTGCGGAAGACGAAATTATTTCCAAATCGCAGTGTTGGGTTGGAGACGGCGACTGGTGGTGATATGTTTTAAGGATGGTCTTGAGGTTGCCTTCGTAAAGGAATAATTTTCCTTTTTGCAAAAAAGAAAAAAACGAAATTATTTCCAAATTGCAGTGTTGGGGTAACCTTTTTCATCCAAAAATAATAATAATAATAATAATAATAATAATAATAATAATAATAATAATAATTATAATAAATAATAATAAAATCTTGCTATATTTCTAATTTATTTTTGTTTAAAATAATATTATTCATAATTAGAGCCGACGATCAATATCACGTGTGAATTTGTTATTTGATATATTAATTTCTTGTAATTTTTTTTGACTCAAATAATAAGTCGATGACTACTTTAATTACTGACTATGAATAATATTATTATTTTTTTTCTTATTTAAGCCTCTGTTTCGTAAAAATTAAAATCTTGATTTTTAATATAAGTCAAAGTTAACAATTAATTTTGAATATATATATTTTGTAGTACTCACAATTTTTCAATCATGCATTTCATCAATTTTTATCAAAATTTACTAAAAATTTGAAGGATAAGTTTACACAAATTGGGTTAAATTCATTCGTGGACATTACAATTTCTCAATTGTCAATTTGGGCACTATACTTCAATCTCTATCAATTGAATAACTGTACTTAAATTTGATTCAACTGCCAAGAATTGAGATATAGAGGGTGTTTGGTGAGGATTAAAATTAATTTTTTTTGTAGATTTTAATAGAAATTTTTGAAATGTGTAGTTGAAAAATTGTAGAATCCAAAAAAGATATTGTTAATATTGATTATTTGACTTCGACTTAGATTAAAATCTAAGCCAAACAGGACTATAGCAACCAATTGACAATTAAGTTAAGTATAATGAACGCAGATGAAATTAAACCTATACAAATTTAACATATTTTTGTATGGATCCATTTCTTTGGACGAAATCTTCAGATTTTCTAAATGTAGGGGATAAAGTATCTCTTTGAGCCCAATTTTTAAAAATAGATTTTTTTAAAAAAATATTTTTTTTAATAAATGGGTGGTTAAAAAGTACCCAAAATTTTGAATTTACACATAATTATTTTATTAAAAGAATGTGTGATTAAAAATAAATTTGAAAAAAAAAAATAATAATCTAGCGAATGGGGCTAAAACTGGGAGGAAAAAAGTTGAGATCTGTATAAATTGTTCAACCTACTCAAAGATAACCCAATTTCATAAAATGTCCAAAAATATTTATAAATCGAAAACATTGATTTTATGAATAATTTAAATAAAATTAGAATCATTACATTTTCATCATTCCTCAAAATTAATAATTCATATTTTTTTAGTTGGATTACTGTACTAAATCCAACTTTTACTAAGGGCTGTTTGATATGTGATATTTTTCATTTTCCAAATTTTGTTGTTTGATAGCAAAAGTTTTTCATGGAATTCATTTTTCATCTTCTCCCCACACGACGGTGAGAATTGATTTTTCAAAATTGATTTTTTATTTTATTTTCAACAATGAGAACAAATTTTATTCACAATTGTAAAAAATTATATTCCTTTAATTGACAATTTTCATGAAAAATAAAGCTAAACAAATATCAAAAGATCCAAAATTTCAACATTTTTCAAATAAAAAATTATACCAATCAAACATATTAATTGATAATTTTCCAGAAACAAGTCATAGACAATTCAATTTCCTGAAATTCATTTTCTTTTCACCCAACTTCCATTCTTACAATCAAACGTACCCTAAGAGTAATTATCTACAAATTGCTTCTTCACTCATAGTGAAAGTCATTCCATAAGCGCCGTCACATATTACATCAATTTTTTGTAATGATGGTATAGAATATGAAAATGGCGTACAAAGTGCTTATAAATTTAGAAGTATATTTCTCACGAAATGGATTTTGTTGGCTAATTTTTTAGGACTTCTGTTATTGAGCAAGTGGAAAACTGAAAATTAGCCATCTTTCCTTATATTTGAAAATTAGCCATTATCTTATATCTTATTGAAATTGTTTTATATTGCCCTGTGGCTCTAATATGATGTGGATACATTGCTTTTTTGCAGAAAAAAATGACTTGTACACTTTCTTTCGTAACATCTAAGTTTAAAGAATTATAATTAAACAAATATTTCCTCATGCTTTTGGGTTAAAAATCTTTCAGTTTCCTTGTCCCTTTTTACAATGTCATTCCCCCTTAATAGCTGCAAGATTTCACCAAGTCTCTCCTTCAACAGAGATAGAAGTTAAGTTTCAAATTTGTTGAGATCAACGACCTATATCAACGAACAACTATCCCGTTTTGTAAGCTTGTTATTCTCTACTTCACTCATTTTTACATTTGACAATACATCAAATTGACATGACTCGATGTTGAAATAGAGAAGCCTAATAATTTGTAAAAGATGGAGTTGTTTTTGGAGTTTAGATTTCCCCTTCAAACAATCTGAAGTACTTACTCTTGTAAATTACAGGAAAGACGATCAACATGATCAAAACGCTAACATGATGATCAAAATACGAATCATAATTTTAATTCAAGTCCACTGACTTCATGATGTGTTCTTAAGATGAATTACCCCTTTCTATGGTGCCCATTTGAACAGTCGATTATCATCTCTCAGGATAGAACTAATTTCACCTTTTACAGAACCTGCACAACTAGTAAAACTAATTTCACCTTTTACAGAACCTGCACAACTAGTAAGCGTTCCAACAAACTCAATGTAGTGTATTCGTACTTGAATAACAATATCAAAATTTAGAGAGAAGTGAGATATAAAGTAGGAAATTTTGAAATTAAAATAGTGCAAATTTTATTTTTTTTGACAGAAAAGTAAGTCATTCATAAATTAATTCGTGCCCATTTGAACAGTCTACAAGCCTATTCAAAGTAGTGGTAACTTTTGACATGGCCTATGTTATAGTCGGTCACATATTTTGGTTACAGTCGGTTACAAACAATATTTTCCTAGGTTGTGTGGGACAAGAGTTTGCAATTTTGATCAAATTCTCACCTATTTAAAGTTTGAAGTGTCCAAATTTGAAATCAGATATTTCTTTCAATTTTTAATGATTTTCGATAAATAAATATATCATGTTAATCATCTCGTGGAGTGAAATATGAATATGTTTGGTCCTATTAATTTTGGAGTTGGGATTCCAAGTAAAATTAAGCTCAAAGTAACTCATTTTAAAAACCATTTACAGTAGATGGTTCTGTCTCTCTTAAATTGATTGTTAGAAACACAAAGATGCCAGGACTTTGTCCTACTGGACATCAAACCCACTATTATGTTATGAGTGTGTAGGTTGTATGACTACGTTTCACTTGGCAATAGGGGTGAATCCAGGGGGAGTTCAGTTAGGGAGGATTGTGAACGTTGAAAGTTTACTATCGACGGCCAACGTCTGTGATAGCGGAGTTGTTTATTAATATTTAATTAAATAATATTAAAAAAATTGTATGGATTAGAATTAGAAGAATTAGATACACCACTAGAACTAGAACTCGGTATGGACTTTCATTTTGGATGAAAAAATCGTTCTACTATTTGCAAAATGCCTTAATTTATTTTTCAATTAAATAGACAATATATATTAACAAACTGTCAATATTCTATTTACAATTAAAGTTAATTAAACAAGCATTATTATATTAACAAAATTGAAATTATTTATGTGCTTAATTCAATTTTATGTGCTTGTATGATTCTACTTTCTCGCAATCAATTTTTTGTAAACGAAAAGTAGAACCTTTTATTAATGAAATAAGTTTTGTTGAAAGATTCCTTATAATATTAAGGTCAATTTTTCTATAAATTCATTCACCATTAATTGACCAAACTTTCAAATCAATTAATTAAAGGGAAAAAAATAAGATAAGAAAAAAAATAATCAAGAAGAGGGACAAAGCACTGATTAAAATGTTTCTACTTGCATTAAACCAATAAAATTGAATATATATTATTTTGTCACATCATGTGTTAAAAACCAATAAGTGCCATGATGGTAAAATTGTCAATATGTTTAAGGAAAGTAGCAAGTTTGAATTACCTTCTTGCATTTGTTTTGGTAAAAATTGTTGAAATACAAAAATTACAAAAAATACTGTCCTTGAAGAGTTTCGAACACAAGACCTTCAATTCAATAATAGAAGGCTAACCAGCTAAATTAACATAAATGTTTGTTATTAATATGAATTACAAAATAGATAATTAAAAAAATTTATTTATTATCAGCAAAAAAATAAAATAAAAATAATAATAAAATAAATATAAAATAAAATAAAATAAAATATCCCCTCGACAAATTCAGCTAGGGCGACCACCCTAACTCGTCGGCCCCTAAATCAGTCCCTACTTGACAAAACAATGGTATGTCAGATTTTTCGACCTTATTCTCAAATTTATTTCTTGATTTTTATCTCAACTATGAATTAAATTATTTCTGAATTTTATTAGCTGAGTATGATTCAAAATTTGCAGTTGGCCTCTCCAAATTGTACTCTACTCGTGTAACTTGATGCCATCTGTTTATCTGTGACAATAAAATGTCACATCCATATTTAGCTGTTAGCTTAGATGAGGTAGCTGAACGAATTACTCACTTTTTTGTTGAGAATCTAATAGCCCGTTTACTCTTTGGACCTCTACTTCAATCAATCGATATTGGCATCTCCTGAGGGCAATTCCAATTTGCTGATTGGTTCGTAGTTTCTATTCGTGCACTCATAAAATATTTCTTTTATATATATATATATATATATATATATTTTAAAGATTATTATTTTGTTTCCTTCTATATTTTAGTTCTCTTTCCTTATAAAAGTAGGGAATTATTTTGCCTAGGCTTTGTACACTTATCGAGTAACCAATTTATTTTAATCAATTATTCTCTACATTTTTTCGTGTTTTCAACTTATTCTTGCTTCAAGAATTTCAATTCTGTTTCTCCTTCAACACATATACAGGTGAAGTTTCTGCTTTAGCAGAGACTCTCAATGCAATGTTGAGATCAATGACCTACATCAACAAAC